GTCCCGTCCCGTCCCTCCGCCGGCAGCCCCGGCCCGGCCTGACCCCGCTGGGAGCGGGAGGGACCCTCACCGAGCACCCCCGGAGCGCGGGGGGAAGGGAGGGTAGGGGGGCCGGGACACATCCCCCGCCCCACGGACACCGGCTTTGTTTTTACAGGTGTCTGGAGGGCAATTTACTAACAAGTAATTAAAGGTTGCACCGCTTTGCAGGCGCGTCGGGCCAAAGGCTCCTGCGAGAGACGAGGGATGGGAGAGGGGCTTGTCCTTCCTCATTAAAAAATAGAATAATAAAGGGAGGAAGGGGGGGTAGGATGGAGTGAGGGGGGGTGAGAGGGAGGGAAGAAGAAAAATACAAATCCTTTATTGTTTGGGAATAAGCCGGGAAGCTGGATGTCCCCCCTGCGCCTCGCGTTCGGCAGGGAAGGCAGCGCGGATCCGGTATCACGTTGCAGATCCTCACTGGAGATAACGAAATGCGATCTATTTTTCAGAACAGCAAGTGGATGGGAAAGGAGCCCTCTCTCCGACACAAACCTCATTGACTTAATGGCTCGGTTTTGGATTTCGCCCATCGAAAGGGGTTCGGGAAAAGCGTCCAGCGTTGCGTTCCTGCCCCGCCGGCTCCCAGCCTGCAGCCCCGGTTATCATCACGCTGAAACGGGGGAGGGGGGGAGGAAATAAATGTCGCTGGTTTTATTTTGTCGCGCTGTTTGTTTCCTCCAGAGCCTCACGCTTACAGGGGAAAAAAAAAGACAACAAGCAAAAAAAACCCCACAAAAAAAAACCCAAAAAATAATTTTCTGTTAGGGCAGGTGGGAGTTGTGTTGGGGTTATTATTATTTTAATTTTATTTTTTTTTGCTTTGCTTCGGTTTTCTGGCGAAATCGAGGAAAAACCCGCAGAGCCTTGCGCGGGATCCGTCTTCATTCCCGCTCTGCGCTGGGTCTGCATCGAATAAATAGGCGAATACATCCATTTTTCCGCACAAACGGAGCCGATCGGTGCCCCGCAGAAGCGCGGAGGGCCCCGCGGCCGCGCCCCGTTCCCCCCCG